TACCTAAAACATCCTGATTGAACTTGGGTCCACCTAAAACCTCAGATTCTGTTGAGGAAATACTCAAGGAGCGCAGCACCTTAAAAGGAAAACTACACTTTTCCCACTTATTCCACCATTCTGAAAGTTGACAAGTTAAGAAACAATTTTCTTTATGATTAGACTGTGACTTCTAAGTTTATAATTATAATTGGCTTAGCATAAAAGGCACCCATTTTACTATGAAGTGATGTCATTTATGACACTGGCAATTTCCTGTCTCTTTTACAGGGTTGCCAGTGTCAAATTAACTCTCTGGCAGAGACCTTCTATGTCAAATTTCAGTCTAGAGAGAATTTTTACATCCAAGTTACATAGCCTGGAAAATCGGGAGTTATAATGAAAATGCTGACACAGTCTTAACTATGGTACATCAATATGAACTTGCCACTGTAATAGGCTTTTGCGTTCTCAAGAGACTATGTTAAATCATTTACAATTAAAGTAATCTTTCAGTGACAAAGAAAAGTTCATGGTATAGTACACATTTTGTAAATTCTATGGAACCTAATTTGAAAGGTGGCTTGAAAAAAATTGAGCATGACCAGACAAGCAAATTGTTTTGACTTTTCTGTCTGGTCTGCTATTTAGGAATAAAGAGAAGGGGAGAAAAATTAAATTGGACAAAAATCTTTTAGAAATGCAATAATCTTCAGAGGCCAGGTCACCATACTTTCATGCAAAAAAGAAATTTAGGGTTTGTTTGAACCATAAACATTGTGGATACAAAATGGGCTTAATGTTCTTAATGTGTATACAGAACAACAAAGATGCTACTGAAGGAAGATAGTGTGTTGGGCTCAGTAACCAATTATTAAAAAAAAAAACCATAAGAAAAAAACAAACAGTTTTAGCTCCCCCTCAAGCTTTCACAGTAGGGAGATCTTAAGATATATAAACATATCTGTGACCTTTTCATTAGCCTCTGTAATAAGGAAATCACTTTACCTTCCACTCAGAGATGAAAAAAAGGGCACTACATGTATTCCCAGAGGGCCACCTTCTCCAGAAATCTCCACTCTTCTTGTCATATCACTAAAAGAAAGCAAAAGACACAGATGAAACTCTATTAAGAAATATGTGCAATACATAAAAACCCCCCAGACTTAATGTAGTGATGTCAAGCAGCAAAAGGGCCATCAGAGAAAATTAAATGCAGGGCATAAGGACCAAAATATGCGGTAGTCAGAGGTGGCTCAAATAACATCATCAACTTTGTAGATGTCAGGTTTTGCATTTTGGATGAGTAAGGCAGACACTTCATACTGGTTGCTTACTTATGGGCCTCTGTACACAGGGAAATCATCCTGAATAGCTATTGCAGAATAAAAATACAAAACAGACCTAATGAGCACCATTTTGTGTCCAAAAGTTTGTCCAACATCCTGCCTCCCCCCATCCCCAACTATACAGTTGGTCTGATAGATGAGACGACTACAAAAAAAAATCTTGCCTCTGCACTGGAGAATAAATTATTCCGCAATAATTCTTCAGGTTTCCCAGGTAATTATTCTCTTTTGTTCTAGAATAATTATTCTGCATTAAAATTATGTCAGTAG